GGAATGCTCATGTGCTTTACATTATGAACGTGCTTCAGAGCTTCCAGAAATGAGAGCCAAAAACTAAAGATAACTTGGAAACTGGAAAGCAAGCAAATCATAGAAAAAAAGACTGACCAGATGTAGATGAAAACACACTTTCATAAAGTATTCTTGCAAATTAACCAATATGCACATTTTGTATCCACAAACTATAAAGCATAGGTTTCTGACGGACCTGGTGGTAAGTCAATTCTTTAATTACCACACAGCCTAAAAAGGAGAAATGTGACCTTATCTCTGGCTCAAGACCAGAATATGGAGGTGAGAGTAGAAGGAAAAAGAGGGTTTGAATGTTTTTATGCTGACATACATAGTTAAAGAACATTCTAGGCCTCAGCATCTCATAGAGCTTCAGAAAAAAAAATTTACAACTTTTTTGGTTTGTACTTTTTTTCTGAAATTTTATTTCTGACATGGTTTTACCATGAACTACTAGTTTTATGCTTTACATAATTTGGAAACTACGATTCAAACCTGCTATCATATGGCATAAAAAAAACTGTCTGGGGAATATTGTCTGCCATGTACCTGGAAAGGATTTTTTAAAATTTCACCACAAGGGTGTTTCAATGATAAAATAAGCCACATAGTCAACTCATATTATGTCACCTATGCATCCTTAGACTTGATAAGGAAACACTTTTCTATTTCACAGTATAGCCACATGGTTCCTGAAGCTTCAAGGACCAAAGCAGCTCCCCTGTCACAGTAAGAACTACAGCAAATGTAACAGCTAAGTGTCATTGAAATAAAGATACTAGTAGTGTCTCTATCGCAGTAGTTTTAAGACATATACAGAGAAAAGATTGCAGGGCTAGCTCAATTAAATACATTTCCATTTTTTCAGTCTTCAAAATTGGTGTTTCTACAGGAAACAGAGAATGGTATAAGGAACTTTGAAATGCATTAAAAATTATAAAATAGGGTTTCTGATATTCTCTGAAAGAAGCATTTAGTTGTGAACAATATTTTGAAAGATTCAATGATAGCTATTCACAGTTTTATAACAACATGGAAGTCCCTAAAAGATAATGCAAACTGGACTTGGTTTTGTAACAGTAAAACCTTCAGGAAGACTGATACCTTCATATTTACAAGTATGTTTCACTTTTTAAAGCAAAGATTTACAATCTGCATTTATTTTTTATTAGTCCTAAAGCAGGATGAAAACTGGTTGGATCCTCTTAAGGGATTAATTTAACTAGGAGGAGTGAAATGCAGAGCTTTCCACTGTCTTCTAGGATCTAATGTGGATTCACACAAGCCTCTAATGAAAAAAAATGCTGTATGTCCCTTTCTTCTCCCATCCCAGTCAAAGAGTAGAACTAACATATGATCAGAATTACATTTTCTTGAATATATTTCACAATTTCTTTCTTCTGAGCAGTATTCTTACTCTTGGCTGCTCAAGAATAATCTCCTCTCTGTTCTCCTAGGATTAGTTTCTCTTGGCGCTGTGTCTGTATTGCTTGCCCACAAAAAATTGCCTCCTACTGTATTTGTTGCTATTCATAAATGAAGTCAAAGAGAGGTTTCGTTCAAGAAAGAGTATGGCAACACCTATTCTCTCATGCAGGTAAAAGACCAAAGATATTTATTTGTGCTGTCAACAGGGTTTGAAGATGATGTTACTCAGACCATCCAATGGCCTGAATGGATCTGATACTCATTCCAAGCTTGTGAATAGTGAGCAGAGAAGACTAGTAGGTACGAGGAAATTGGCAGGAAGACTGGGAATGTATTTCATCTGTCTCTCTCTCCCATAATTTTTGGTCTGTGTAATGCAGAAGAAAATAGAGCCCTGTGAGAATTCACAAAGTTGTATTCTGAGCACTGAAGCTTTAAAAATGTTATTTAATCTCCCATTTACAGAAGTCTCCTCTTTGCTTAAGCGTCTCCAGAATGGCTGTGTGAATTACATAGCACAATAACACTTCTCTCTGATGCGGTCACATCCAGGATAGGAATGACTCTGTACAGAGCCACTGAATCTCCTCCATGGAGCTGCATGTCCAAGAGCAAGACAGGACAGATTTTGATGTGTGACCTCACATGTAGGGCAGTTTAGAATCAAGATGTATATTATTTTGGAAGGTTAACTTAAATCAGGACACATTTTGCTAATGGCATGAAAAACTGTTATGCAGAAACAGTGTAGCTATGACAGATTTTTTTATAAGGCATTTTATTTGCCAGAATACAAATTTCATCACAGAATGTAGGCACCACCTAAATCCCTGTAAAATCTCAAGTCTGCTAAAGTCAGCACTGCTGCTGACCTCACTCTAAACTCTTTAGTGTTCAGTAGCCTAGAATTTGTTTGAGGTAATTGTGGAGAGGTGATTTTTCAAGTAGGACCAGATACTGGCAAAACCTTAACTGAAACTAGTGAGTCCAGGCTTGAAAGACTTTCATGTACAGCCTTTAAAAAAAAAACCAAAAAAACCAAAAAAACCACAAACAAACACTGCAGCCTGGGACGCCTGACTGCCATATCTTTTTTCTTTTTTTTTTTTTTTTTCTGAAGAATAATTAAAAAACAAATATTCTTCCTCTCAAGATAAACCACTGTGACCATCAGAGAAAGATTATTAAACACTATCTCAGTGTATTAATCTGAGGTGTAGCTTGCAAAAGATTTTACACCAACATAGAATCATAGAATCATAGAATGGTTTGGGTTGGAAGGGACCTTAAAGATGACCTAGTTTCAACCCGCTACCATGGGCAGGGACACCTTCCACTAGATCAGGTTGCTCAAAGCCCCATCCAACCTGGCCCTGAACACTTCCAGGGATGGGGCATCCACAGCTTCTCTGGGCAACCTGTTCCAGTGCCTCACCACCCTCACGGTGAAGAATTTCTTCCTTATATCTAATCTAAATCTACCCTAACATGAGTTATTTTAAATTAAAGCTAACTCAGGAAAAAACGCAGAAATGTGGGGGGTTTTTTGAAAGGTTGCTCAGAACACACAGCCTTTATATAATCAAAATAGCCTAGTTCTGATTTAACACACAATAATGCTGACTTTGCATTTCCTGTCTTCCTTGTGAAACTACCAGTGCTATCTACAAGCTGATAGTCTGAAATAATTTTACTATTGATTCTTCATAATTTCAAATATATATTTCTTGCATATATTCGTTAATCAGTCATATTTCTCCTCCAGTATCTGCAGTGTGCTATTAACATCTGAAAGATAATGCTCCTTTCCTTGTGTATCTGTGTCCCTTTGACTATGCCTTTGCTTGTAAATGAAACAAGTCCTTAGAGAACAAGATGTGACACAGCTCATATCAACATACATAACTGCATTTCTGTGGCTTTGTGGAGAAGAACCTGGGGGTCCTAGGGGACAACAGGTTGAACGTGAGTCATCAGCAGGCCCTTGCAGCAAAGGCAGCCAACCACATTCTGGCTGTGGGAGCACAGCCAGCAGGTTCAGCTGCAGGTTCAGGGAAGTGCTCCTTTCCCTCTATTGAGTGCTTTTAAGACTAACTCTGGAGTGCTGTGTCCAGTTTTGGTCTCTCCAGTACAAGACAGACTGACATACTGGAGCAGGTCCAATGGAGGGTAATGAAGATGTTCAGGGGCTGGAGCACAGGACATATGAAGAAAGCTTGAAAGAAGTGGGTTTGCTCCGCTTGGCAATCTTATTGCTGTCTAAACTACCTGACCAGAGGCAAAAGAGATGTAACCAGACTCTTCTCTGAAGCGCGCAGAGATAGGAGAAGAGGCAACAGACACAAGTGGGAGCAGAGGAAATTATGATTAGATGTTAGGAAAAAAAAAAATATCTTACAATGAAGTTGAATACTGTCATGGGTGGCCCAGAGAGGTTGTGGAATCTTCATACTTGGAGGTGTTCAAGACTTAATATGGACGAGAGCAACCTGATCTGATCAGACCTGTTTTGAGTAGACTGTTAGACTAGATGACCTCTGAAGGTCCCTTCCAACCTTAATTTTATGATCCTATAAATCCCACTAAAACAGTTTGCATCTAAACTCCCTGCTGGAAATGGCTTCTGCTCTATGCTATCCCCTGAACAATGTCCTCAAAGAGTTGTCCCAGTCCAACACTGCAAAGAGGAATGAGAAGCATGAGGCTGCATAGGTCACTAGCCATTGCTCAAAGTCATAGTCTGGCAATATCTAATTTACTAGTCTATAGACAAAGGTTTTGTGTCTCACAGTTGGTCTCCGCCCACCTGCTCTCAGAGTGAGCTGAACAGGAGCCATTAGGAGCTGAAGAAATGTTTAAGAGACTGAATCATCCTCTCTATCAATTAGAGGTATCTTAGTTCAGACCAGTGTCTTCAAGCAGGGTAAGGCAGCATTGGTCAATGCTTCCAGACCCCAAACCAGCTGCAGCAGCTCAGCAAGAGAAATCAGTCACTTGACAGTTTAACTCTGTGATCCCACCCCTAGCAGACATATAGGGAAACACATCCAACAGAGCTTCCTCCAGAATTTTTTAACCTGCTAAGGAAGAACCATGCCTCTTTGCCAAGGAGAAGCTTGGCCAGGAGAAGACATCCCTGAGGAAATCACCAGGTGACACCAAGCAGTAATGACATCACAGGCATAAGGGATACAAACTTGGGAGTCAGAACAATGGAGATCCTTCCCTACATTGCGTCATCAAGCAGAACATGCTTGCCACTCAGGATGATATATTAGGCTTCTCTTGTTGCAGCTGTGTAGATCTGTCCTCTGGTGGCCTGCACTTCGCCAGAAAGAACAGGGATTGCAATTGTGACCTGACCTTGGATAGTAGCCATGGAGATATGGGAAAGGGAAGACTTTTCCCCCCTCTACCTACACATCTCAACAAGGGTCAGTCTCAGTCTGCTTCCAAACGTTATACTCTTGGCTGAAAGAGATGAACCAAAAGCACAAGGGAGTCTAATTACCGTCTACATACTCATCAGAAGCATGATTTCGGTTTAGATTCTCTCACATGTGCAATTCAAGCTATATCTTTCAACATGATATGCTTGGGAGAGTTGGAGAAACACAATGTTCTCTTTACTAAAACCTCTCTATATTGCCAGCTACAAATATGGGACAGCAAGAAAGGACACCAAACAACCACAGTCCCAGCCATAAAATAAAAAAAATAGAAACCATTTTCTATTTTATAAAATCTTCTATGACACTCTTTTATAACTGGAAGCTCATGAGAGGGGACAGGACTGTTCCTTGTGTGGAGTCTGAGATGTAGATTTAAGCCAGTTACCAGACAGGTTTAAAATATTATCATGCATATTCAGGAAGTTTGCTTTATTACCAGAGAATCCATTTTTTACTCTGATTCAATTTTCACATGGTATTTTTATTACATCCCACTTTTTTTCATATGGAGGGTATTTCACTATGGAAATTATCTTTATATGAATTCACACAAGTGACAGGAGAGATGCTCTATTTCTTAATGAGGTACTAAAAAACAAGAAAAACAAATAAACCAGAGACTAAAAAGCAGAAGTTCAGAAACACAAAAAGAACTTTCATAGACTAATTATTGAATTAAAATATTAAGAGGAAAAAAAAGACCTTTTCTCAACTGATTTAAAAAATACAAACAGAAATTATGAACACTAGAAATCAAAACAAAAAGGAAGGAAAAAGAACTGTAAAAGTGATGTGATTCCAACTACCAGCAACTGGAAGGAAAAAAACCTCCATTCCAGAACTTCTTGAGCCTAATATCACATTATCCCTAGTTCAGCAAAGCTCTGGGAGATCGCCCAATAAATATCAGTCCTGTCCTTACTTCCCATTAAAATCAGTGTGATTTAGCCATCTGTTCATGTACTTTACAGCACTGGTACCACTATAATTAAAATATTTCAATAAACAATAAATACTAAAGAGGAAATTATAGATAAGCTAAGAATAACATAGAAAAATTCAGTTCTACTAGTATAATAGCTGCAAAACAGTTTGGCATCTTGGCTAACAGGAGGAAGCCCAACAAAGGGAATATAATACAAAAAGGCAATTTACTTCTCAGGAATATTCCAGTTCCTGTTTGCTGTAGCTGCAGTTAAGTCCTTTAGAATTATGGCTTTCTCAAGTGCTTGGCCTTCAAAGAGACTGCAGTGAAATCATTGGTTTGAATCTTCACCCATTAAAAGCAATTTTATGACAACACAGGAATCAAATGAGTTACAACACCATAAAATTAGTAGAACATAATTATTTGTTGCCATAGAAATAATTACTGCTGGACAATATTGCATAAGGGTCGCACAGAGACAATAACAGGCTAATAGACTTAATTTTATGAGGTCTAGGCTATTTATCCAGCTCCTTTGATTAACACCAAAAGAAAGTGAAGACACAAACAAAGCATTATTACCATATCTATAAAAACTGGCAATTTATGTAATTGCACTACCTTATTATAGACAACACTTCTACAGAATAAGCACTGCATGACCTTTCCAGGCTGTATCAAAAGCCTTTGCTGCACTAATCTTCCTGCCAGCTTGTCTCAGAAATACCATCTCTCTGCAACAACCTGCTGACTACCACATGTGGGAAAACTAGACCACTTCTGAACTGCTGGCTGACATCAAGATGTGGCTGAAGGCCTCCACTGTTAAATATAAAATTAGCTACAGAATAAAATAAAAACACAGAGTTCTGTTCTCCTTGAATTGCAGAATGCTCAGTGTCCCTCATGATCAGGAATGAAGAAAGAGGAGGCACATACCACTCACTTGTACAGTGTCCAGCACCAGGTTACCTCAACCTGGCTATGACCAAAATTAGACAGCATAGTGGCAAAAATCCAAATGTCCATCAGGCTCTAAGTCTTTATTAACCTGGAGATGAACAGGTGACACCAAGCTTGGGGAATTTAGGGGGAAAAATTCCAATACAGTCAAAAAGAAGACATTAAAAACATAAAAAAATGAGCTTCCATACAGTATTATAAAGTAGGAAAAGGAATATATTTACCTTCATATTTCACCACAACTCAACTGAAAATTAGAAAGTTATTCATCTGATGATAATGTTGTGGAAATATCTTGATAAAATTACTTTCTTTTCTTGATTTTAGAGAAAAAACATCTATGCATTGCCCAAATTCTACAGTAATTTCAGTGGAATTACTTCTATACATAAAGATATGCCAAGGCTTAAACTCATAATAGTGAGCTCAAATACACATTTCACTATAGGGATGACTTTTATAACAAGGTCTTAGGTTAATGCCAGAAATCCAAAGAAGGTCCAGATTTCTCTGAAGTTCAAGTTAATATTAATATATTGAAAAACAGATCATGAATATGTAAATCTTGTTCAAATGAAACTAAAAAGTCATATTTAATAATGAACTTCTGCTGTAGACAGTAATTTAGTATTATGATAACAATAACGTTCCAGCGCCTGACTAATAATGAAACAAAAGTCTCCCCAAGGAGACAGGGAGGAGGACGTATAGGTTTAACTGCAAACATGAATATGACTTTTTTTTGCTTATTCCTAGACAGACTGTAAGTACCTTCATTTGTTCTACCAGAAGCAGAATACGGTTCACTAAATTTTGATATTATTCTTCACCTTTTCCTTATGTCACCAGTTTCTACACGTATTGTTCTACATTCAATATTAAATTCCCTTGGAGTTGTCTCTGTTATTTATTAATTAGCTAGAAAGCAAATTTAGATCATTGCATTGGATTGCATGGTAATTATGTACAATTTAACCACCATCTAATTTTAAACATATAAGCAAATAGACTAATTGGCAGTGCTGGACACAAGTGCCATCTACCACTATCAAATGCATTAAACACAAACATAGTGCATGGCTCCCCATTACTTGTCTAGTATTTCTCAGTCCTGATCTAGCAGATGGAAGGATACTCCACCCTATCTCTGACTTCTCTGCTGATTGGCACAGAGATATGAGTCTCCAGAAATTATAGAACACAAGTAACATAAACTGTAATAAGTCAACCACGCTGGGAAACATACTCACTACAGAATGGAAACTCTTAAAACAAATGCAAAACATGTTCATTTTACCTTACCCTTTGACCTTGAGTTCCATCTCTTCCAGGTGAACCTGATGCTCCTGGGACACCCTAAGCATTATAAAGGGAGGGCAAATGATGAGATCAAGTTAACAGAACCCAACTAAATCACTTAATCACTTTCCAGTGAAAATGTATGACATGCTTTTGGATAAAAGTTTTGGATAAATTGAATTAGGGAGTTTAATCATGCGTGGGGCCACAGAAGAGATTCAGTAAAGAAGGCATTTCTGTGAAATAAGAGATGGTTAAAACACACACTGTTAAAATGCGCAGGCTTCATAACCCCCTCACTACAATCCTCTGTTAAGAACACCGACAATTTTGTCAAATCAGGCTTCCTGTGCCACTAAGCTGAAAAGAGCTAGATTTTCTACATTATTCCAGTGTTGTGTCAGTGTAACTCCACTGCACAACATCATTACTTTAACCTAAAAACACAACTGCTATTTCTCTCTCATTGCTAAAATGGAGTCTGTTACCATATTGCTTGACGTCAGTGCAGCAATATCAAGGGGAAATACCTGCCTGAGCAGGACTACAAGTTATATCCAGCAGTTCCCTGCTTTTCAGATGAAATGCCACTCTCTGGCTCATGAAGGCTGCAGAGCAGCAGTCTGGGACCATTACTGCAGTGGTATTGCAGAAGGCTAACAAAACTGATTTATGAGGAAAGGCTGTATGACTTTACTATCCCTAGCACATATGAAGAGGGGGGAACCTGGTAACAGCCAACAAATACTGAAGGGATATAATCAACACAAGAGGAGCATCTAAACAGGGAAGAGCAAATGATCCTGAAAAGCAGCAATAAATTGCAATGCAATCTCCAGACTAAATACCAGACACCAAACTGAGCAAGACTCACTGACTCACTGAATACTACAGCTTTTTAAGACGCTGATCTTGTGAAAGATGGTATCAAAAAGATTAAGTGTCCGATCTGTCCTCCTAGATAATTTCAGGAGAAATTTAATGGGTTTAAAGAGAAAACAAGCAGATGCTAATTATTCACTGTGCAAGCAGTAACCTAAGAGTGGATAGTTTTTTAGTCTATAGAGACCCAATTTCAGTGTTAAACAAGATCAAGAAAGTAACCAGTTCTTCAGGCCTCAAATGATTTGGTCACTGCATACCAGCATACCCTAGATTCCTCCTGGTTCTAAACTTCCATTCAAATTGACCCCAACAACATGTTTCTCAGCAGTTTTGAGTATGTGCCCTAAATTCTCAATGATGTTAATTCAACATTCAAACTTAGTAAGTGACAGATTAAACAATAACTTAGGGAATACCTGCAGGCCAGGAAAACCAAGATCTCCCTTCTCTCCCTTTTCACCTGGTGGCCCCTGCAAATTAAGAATCATACATAGTAAACCAAATATATGGTTACTTTCCTATTTTTAATAGTTCCTTTCAGCTTCTTTAGGAAAAAAACAAACACAAAACAACCAATAAGAAAACAGACTATTTTTCCTGCTCAAAGCAAAACTACAGACTCTATTTTCAAAACTGTAAAGGAAGTATTCACAAATATAGAAAATAAAACTCGTTTTAAAAGACTTCAGAATTAACCTGACAAAACTTAGCCATTATTTTACAAAAAAGGTAGTTATTTTATTTTCTCCTCAAAGGATTCTGTTTCTCTTCATCCCTCGGAAGTATTTCCTATAATGATGAAATTAATGGATTTCTACAGAAACTAGACATGCTTCTACAGTACATATGCCTGACAAAGATATACTATTCTAGATAATAAACTAATTTTAATTAAATTTTATGCAGAAACACAGTTTCTCTATGAAATAACTATTCTTACAGTTAATGTATTCTGTATTATTCTCTGATGACAGCATCATCAAGAATATACAGTTTTGGTAAATCACTTCATTATATTGTACAACAGTATCATACAGACTGGGTAAAAAGAAGAAAGTGTATTATAATGTAGTAAATTGTGAAGAAAAGTCTAGCAGAAAAAGATATGTATCTACTACCTTTCAAGGTTTGTGTGTACCAATCTACCAGAGATGTATATGAAACAAGACTAGTGCTGCTGGCTCATTATTCTACCAATGTATCTTTATAAGGAAATTTTGAGACTTATTTCACAACAGCATTGCAAACTCCAGGCCTAATCACCTCCTTTGATGATAGATTCTGTAAGGTAGGGAATACTATTGCTTAATTTTGGCAGCGAGTATGGTGTTCTTCCTTGGGTATACCTTTCAAGTCAGAACTGATCTGCGATGAGCAATACCATAACCAGAAAAAGATAAAATATTAACATTTTTGTTTGGTGCCATGTCACAACCCCACTGCCATTTTTTTCACTTGTCTCCAGGCTTGGATGCTACTGCCTGAGTCATATTCAACCTGTGATCAAATTCCTTCATCTAACTAAAAGTTCAGATCCAAATGAAAACAGAAATGTTGGCATTGAACCGATGTCAACTATAAGTTAAACCCAGATCTGTGATTTCATGTCAAATATTGAAATTCAGACTCTGATCAGGACACCAAAAGATATTTCTGTCTAGACTAAGATATGTGCTTTTCAAAACATCACAGGAAAGAACCCTATTGATTTTATAAGTCTCACTGGAAGCCCTTGAATAGAAAGTCCACTGGGTCCTTGTGGTCCTGGAGGTCCTTGCGGTCCAGGAACACCAATTTCACCTCGAGGTCCATCTGGTCCCTAAAGCAGCACAGGACATAAGTTAAGCTCTTATCATATGGACAAAGGCAGTTTCTGTTTGAAGAATTACATACCAATAGACTCAAAAACATCTGAAATATGAGTTAACATTTGATTGAGCAGTTAGAGTTCAATTTAAAACTGCCTTGTTCCTTTATAAATACAAAAAAAAAAAAAAAGATCTATGCTGTAAAAGCAGCATTCTGATTTTTATATCTTTTATCAAGGAACAAACAGGACAAGCAATTGTTATGAAAAGAGACAAACTAAACGCCAATGGCATTTCACTACGCTTTTTTCTCAGCGACATCAGAGACAATCTGGAATTCATTTCAAAGTTTACATGCAGCAGAGATAAGCCAAGAACCTGTGCATCTGTCAACTGTAAAGCGCTGTACAAAGTACCTTTGGACCTGGATCGCCACGATGACCTTTGGCACCTCTGACACCTGGACCACCCTGTGAAGAAAAAGTACAGGACTTGCTGAAAACCAGAACTCTCAAATAAACAAAAACAAAATCAAGAGAAGCCCAAACAGTTTTTTATGGTTCTGAATCAGCATTCAGGAATCAGTGAATATCCTGTTGATATTCTTCCACTGGAGTAATTAATCTGAGAATACTTAAGTGTGGCCATACACACGAACAGATTTAAACACAGATGTGACTACTTTCTAGAGCCAAGAATGCACATAACATAAGCATCAAAATAACACTGAAGGCTACAACAGCGATGGAAATGTATACATGTGGCCATGGGTTCCCTTCGAGTTGCTGAAACCTCCTGCACATCTGTCTGTTCTCACCAAAATCACCACATTGTTAAAGGTTGAGTTTCCAAGAAGGCCAACACCTTTCCTGGCTTGTATCAGGAACAGTGTGGCCAGCCAGGACTAGGAAAGTGATCTTCTCCCTGTAATCATCACTGGTGAGGCTGCACCTCAAATCCTGTGTTCAGTTTTAGGCCCCTCACTACAAGAAAGCCCTTGAGGTGCTGGAGCGTGTCCAGAGAAGGGCAACGAAGCTGGTGAAGGGTCTGGAGCACAAGTGTGATGGGGAGCAGCTGAGGGAGCTGGGGATGTTCGGCCTGGAGAAGAGGAGGCTGAGGGGAGACCTGACCGCTCTCTACAACTACCTGAAAGGAAGGTGTAGCGAGGAGGGAGTCGGTCTTTTCTCCCAAGGGATAGGACAAGAGGAAACAGCCTCAAGCTGTGCCAGGGGACGTTTAGATTGGATGTTAGGAAAAATTTCTTCAGCGAAAGGGTTGTCAAGCACTGGAAGAGACTGCCGAGGGAAGTGGTGGAGTCACCATCCCTGGAAGTATTTGAAAAGCTTGTAGATGTGGTGCTTAGGGACATGGTTTAGTGGTGGACTTGGCTGTGCTAGGATAGTGGTTGGACTTGATGATCTTAAAAGGTCTTTTCCAACCTCAACAACTCTATGATTCTAATGACTCAGGAATATTTTTCAGCAAGGACAACTCCAGTATCTACTAGACTTACCATGGTTTAATTTAGAGCTACTCTTAGATAAAATACTCTTTTGCCCATTTTTCTTTTTGCTTTCTTCAGTGGTGCCTACATCTGTTAATCATTTATTAATCAATTGCTGCCTCTTTTATTGGTATCGTCTGGGACACTGGAGTTGCATATATCTATAGATGGCCACCATGAACATGTTTTGGATACACATGCTGCATGTGCTTTGTCCTGCAGGACAGCATAAAGATATTTTTTTTCCACTTTTTTCAGATCAATTTCCCTCTTTCCCCCATTTGAGTATATTGCTTAATCTCTTGGGATACGAGCTTTACAGGGATTCTGCCCTCCTTTGTACTCAAAAAGGACCTTGCACAGCTAGGTACCATAACTGAATAGCGTTCTTTAGAGGGTACAGTAAGTACTTATAAAAATAACAGTAGTTACATAAAAGGCATAAAAATAGAAAATATGCTTATCAGATTAAGTGCATATGTAGTGTCTATGAGACTTTAAATAGAAATGCCAGTAACAGAAACATTTGGAAGTACCAGAATACTCTTGCTGTTCAATGATACCATGATACAGTATTCATATGTGTTGTAACAGACCAGTTTTCTGCTGCTTGTCCCAGCTCCTTCAGTTTTCTGACCACCATCTCACAGCTCTATGGCCATGACCCATTCCATCACAGTCAGCTCTGACCCTAAAATCTCATCCCATGCTCTCAACAGAACCATGTTCCAGTTGCCAGTTCCCAAATTCCAGGTCCTCACATTTCTGCATTCCAGCCCAGTAGCTCCCTCTGCCCTTTCTGCTGCCTCTGCCTTTCTCCTACCTCCCTCTCAGATTAAAAATTCCTATGTAAATACTCAGCAAAATAACCGCAACTTTTTAACAAACAAAATCACAGAGTTTTCTCACATTTTGTTCTCAGAAACAGATTACATTTTTACTGAGTAAGAATATATACTTTAAAATAGCCTGATGCTGAGCCATTAAATCATATACTTCAAGATTCACATTAAATTTGGTACACTTACCCATGTTTTGAACCCAGTAACCTTTCCTTGGTAAAAGCACAAGGTCCAGAAAAGCATTGATTTAAGACGAAAACATAACAAGAGCCTCCCTCATTTTTCTCATAAACTTGTTTTGGTGGTTATTCCCCAGCACCACTAAGCTTGTGTGACTAATTTCAAACTTTTCATTTCTTTGTCTTCCAGCCAAGAATTCCTGTTCTGCCTTTTTCTCTTATTTTAAATAACTTCTTAATAGCCAGTGCTTTCCCCCAGAAACAGTTCTTAATCAGCTGTTATCAAGTCACCTCCTTATTTCTTTTTAATAGTTAAAACCCATGAATCACTGAAAGTTTTTCTTTGCAATTAAACTTCTCCAGTACTCCAACATTTTTTGTTTCCTTCCTCATCTTCTCCAGTTCTGCAGAACTCCTTTCAAATGCAGGCATCAGGTTTGTGTGATATCTTAATTTTACTTTGTGTGGGGAACTTCAGACAGCATGATCAAATTCTGGCAAAGATGAAGCCATAAAAACAGTATCCCATAATGAAAACTGCCAGAGAACCTCAACTCTAAATGACACTTTGTCTTACCCAAAATGACCCACTTCCTAAAAGAGCTTAAAAAATATTTCCAGAGTTATTATCCCAAACAAATGGAAGCCTTTCATTTGGAGTCTTTTTAGTCTAATGTCTAAAACTGGCTACATGGTAGAATCCTGATCTCTTAAGCAGAAAAATCCTTGGCTTAGAGAAAAGTCACATGGCATGTTAACGACTTGGAGCAGTATTGACCAGACATAGCACGTGTGACTTTCTGACTTTTGGTTGGCGCAGAGTTGAACGCTGACTTTATTCTTTTTCTCTGCTTTTTCCTAGGCCTCTTACTTTTTTGCCAGACAGTTAGATGGCATAGCTTTGGGAAAAAGTATCACTTGTAAGAAGCTGAGTTCCAGAATCACACATTCGCCTGCCCAGGCAGTGATTTTTCTGCTTGATTTTAAGCCTCCTCTTGCATTGCACTATACTACTCAAAACACTGTTAATCCTAAATAAATCCATTATTTTACAGCTGAGTTAAGCTTTAGCAATTCCGGATCTGTATATTTCTTGAACTATAGTAGCACACATCCTTCCAGTCAAATAATTTTTAAACATTTTCCATTTTACTGTAAAATGTGTTCAAACTACTCAATTTCAGTTTCATCTTTGTGTGAATTATCCCACTGTCTTTTTCACAGAACACAAATTGGACACCGATATAGAGAAATTAAAACCTTAATCCATACTTGTTTTATAACCTACATTCAAATAAGAGAATAGAATAATTTTTCCTTGTTCAAGATACACCTCTTCACTGAATTTTCTCCTGAGCTCCTTTTCAAGTTTTCTTAGCAGAGTTTGATAGAACAGTTCTTGCAGAAAGACTAACCTCTGAGTTGGTAGTAGGATAAGTGTCCGCTAAGATCTACTATGTGAATGTCTTTGTGTGCAAGTTAATTTTGTTGTTGAACATGTATATCATGTAATTTGCATACTTTAACCTTTTCAAAAACTTATGTTCCTTTGCATTCTTCACTGGCTCTTTCTCTTCGAAACATGTTCTTGGAGCATCCAGGACACAGCATAAGCAGAGAAACACACAGTTCAAACTTGTTCACAAGAGGGACTCATCTCAAGCTAACTCAGCAAGTAGCCCTAAGATGCCAATCAGAGTTACCAATCTAGTTGTAAAAGAAAAAACACATGACCGTTCTACAAACATCCCAGTTCTGATTCTTATTAAACTAAACCAATAATGTACCATTGCAAACAGACCCTACAGCTTTTCTAAACTGCTAAAAATCATTCTTGGGATGCAAGATTGAGTTATCTAACTTTAGTGACCTGTAGCTCCGTTGTCTGGTCTGATCCATTGTGTGAGTTCTTCCACAAGCCAGTAAACAGAAAGGAGATTTATTTCATCTTTCTAAAATAATATGCTGAGATGGAAGGAAAGTTATTGTCTTCTAGAAGAGACTATCTAGTTCCACTGATTATTCAAGGAACTCAGATATACACTTAACATTTACACAGTAAATACTTAGATGAGTGCTATCAAAGTAACACCACAAATTATAGGTAAAAGTTGTGACAGTGTATTTCATCTTTCACTGGCAAGCTAGAAAAAGTTTCAATTCAGCTTTCACCAAAGCCAGTTTACTTCATCCTCTCTTCCCTTCAGCACTTTTGGGTACCTCTCTGCCTCTAGGACCTCTCAGAAGAAGCAGCACTTTCAGTTGTGCTTTCCAATATATATTGTACTTAGGTAGGGCTTTTAAGACAGAAAAGTCTTCTTTCATCATTTATCACACAAGTGGCATTGTCATACCCCATATCTTTAATTCATAAGAGTCCTGTAAACTAAGCATTTCAGAAAGTTAAACACCAAGCTACATTTAATATGCATGTGCTAGAGTAGACAGATAGCAGGTGATTAAAAATTTGAAAATAAATGGCACTAACTATGACATATCTACTAATGCTACAGACAGGTAACAGCGTTCAAGGTCTAAAGATTACCCTAACTGCTTCAGGTCTTGATTAAGCCATTAAAAATTTGACTGACTTATAGGGTGAGAAGTTTATTTACAACATATTACTTGGTATCTTTGCTATAAATTGAATGTAATTTTATTTCTTTGCCAACGCTTAAACCCCTAATTTAACCTTATTAGTTATACAATGGCAGTATATTCACATGTCTTGGAATAAAGGTGGCCAGTGGACTATTTGGTACATTTGACTACAAACCTGAATAAAACCTTACCGGTGGTCCAGGAGGTCCAAGGGGACCCTTATTAGCTTCTGAACAGGAACAAGCATGAGGAAGGGCAGGGCAATTTTCCTCATCTCTCTAAGGAAAGATCAAGATAGGAAGAGAATGATGTCCAAAACTTCTATTCAGAAGTTAAGAATTTTATTAATCTAAGACATAGTATTGTGTGGATGCTTCAAAAGCACCTAATTGATTTAGAAACATGTATCTCATTGACTTTCAATAGGACAAGTAATCCAAGTAGACTTGGACTTTTTTGAAAACTCTTAACCATTCATTTCCATTAAAACATTTGTCTCAATAAAGGGGAAAGTAAAAGGTAAATTCTACCGTTATTGAAAGAGGTTTCTTACCAAGCCAGGAAGCTCACAGCATTTGTCTCGATTGGCCCATGACGTAGCACAAACAATGTCAAACATCTGTAACTGCAACTGTTTCAAAACAAGAGTGATGTTCAAAATGACTGTTAGTTGTAAGATGAGTGCAAAATAGAGCCATCAGCAAGAAAAGCTACCTTAACTCATGCACTCAGATTAGACAGAGGAAAGCCTATCGACTTTGAGGAGCTAGCCACAAATATACTAACCTAAATGGTAAAAGGCTTGTGTTCTAACCAACTTGTCCAAACTATCAGACATTGTGTGGATTGAGCAAGCTGTGCAATGTTAAATGCTGCAGGCATTTGTTGGATTATCCCCACCTCCTTGATTAAATTCCTGATTTTGCCCAATGGTGCCTCACAATACTTTTTTCTAGCAAAGGAGGCATCAAGAGTCAGGGGAAAGAGAACTCGGCTTCTCAAAACTGAGTAATTCCTCTTAACCCACTGGTCTGGTGCTCAGATTTTATCTGGCACAAGGTCTCCTGTAGCCTATTACTTACACTGGAGCTGAGCCACAAATAATATTTATCATCTTCTCCAGCTTTATTTTGCTTTAGAATATGCCCTCTCTTATCCGTATTATCCCCAGGCAACGATAGTTTAAGGATGGTGAAAAGCTTGCTCAATACATGCCAACATTGGGCAGAAAAGAAAATTCCCATCACAGGTCTGGGAATATGGTTTGGACAAGAATTTAATCTACAAGAATACACACATTTGGTAAAAATAATGGCTGCTAGGTACTCAGAAACAATATACTAAATAGGACTCAATGGTAAAACCAATTGTCTCCTTTACAGCCTTGAACTGAACAAAGGGATCTAGAGAGATGAAATTTTCTTATGTTACTATTTCTATTCTTTTTCCATGCCTCATTTATGTGCGTACTGAATAGAGAGGGGAATGGAACAGAACATCCCATTAAATTAACCCCACATGTGAGGAACTGCTAGAGATAGAACTCTCTCTGGTTTTGCTCTCATTATTATTTTCAGTGGCACTATTTTTACACTAGAACGGAGGACTGAATTTAAAGATTTTCTTAAAACTGCACTGTTTCTAAAGTCGTTAAAATGAACTACATATGTGCACCTTTGGTTTTGACTCATTTTTTTTTCTAAGTAAAATATTATATTTTAAACAAAGGAATACTTTCATATACATAGAAATTCTTCTTACCTGCCAGTAAATTAGCTGGTTTGTAGATATGCTGTACTACAGATGCAGACACACATGAGCTGGCTCCATGCTAAACACCTTAGATGGCTGAAGTACAGCATGAAGGCAGCTTTTGGACCCCTGGTTTGGCTCCACAAAGGTCTATCCTGAGTCCAGCAAGTCTGTGTCCCTGGCTATGTGAAATGCAAGCTGGCTCCATGTGGAGCCACTTAGGTGACTCTTTGCTACACAGCCCAAAGCTACTAATTCCAGGAGGACTCATTAACTTGGGCACAGTAGCAAATGAACATGCATGAACATATTGCTCTGGGACTCAGAATGACCCCGAGTATTTGCATGATACTACACTTAAGCAATAAGATGTCCCAGAAAAGGAGTGCAGTAACACCTAAGCTGGTTGTGCAGAAAGCAGTTTAGGTTCAGAAGTAAGTCGTATTACCATTTTTTCCATAACTCAGTCCATCCCAACCTATTCTGTTATCCTGAACAACGGAAGGTTGACAGTATTGGCTAAATTTATGCAGTCTCACATAGGCCTCTATGTGCATTCATTTTCTCTGGATTAGACAATCTAGAGATCCATAGTGATAAAGCATGTTGGTGCAGAATAAAGAGCAAATAGACACTCTGAATTGCTGTATTCACCATCCAAATGCTGAATGACTCAGTATTCTTATTTTAAAATATTATGTGGGTTGTTCTGACTGAAGCTAAAGAACTAAACAAAGCTTTCTTTGCTACTGTTAAACATTTATTCATAATTCTCTGTATTCACAGTGATTTTGCTTTCTAAATATCCAGCTCTGCAAGCAGAATCAGTAAGATGGAAACGTCTGCTCATCCGCATCTGATCAGGCTACAGTCCTGCAAAGATTTCTCAAGAGCAGACCTCATCACACATTACTTTTTTAACAGTACATATACATAGAGGGAAACAAGTTTAAAAGAAAAGGAATCATCAATAAAGAGAAGGTTTGTGAACTGTAAATAAGCAATGTTTTAAAGCTGGACTTTTCATTAAATCCCACTGAAGAAATAAAGAACATTACTTACTGCATGTCACAGTCAGGTTTCATTGCTCTAGCTGGCTGGAGTGTCTAACCCAGAGACGCCTCACTATTAAGAGATGTTAAAAGGGCTAGGTACCTTTAGCCTAATCCCCTTTTTGTTCTGTCTTTCTCTTTTTCTGCCTGTTCATTGAACTGTTGCACCCCATATGCTTCAATGGGAGAAAAAAAAAAACTCTGATACAATTATATTCCCTCAAAATTTAAATGTTTTGTAAAATTCAGGTGATTGCACTGGATTTACTGATTAAAAAAAAAAACTTGAAAACATTCTGACAATGTTAAACTGTTCCATGTGAATACAGTCAGAACAAAACATCCACAATTTTTTTCCAAAGTAACTGCCTGTCTGTTTTTATTTTATGTAATAAGCATCTCTAAAACTAAGATTAAAGCATTTTATGAAAATAAAGCTGATGAAAAAAGAACTTTTCAGAACTATCAACAAACCTCAATTTTCATATCAATTCAAAACAATTTTGAAAATGTTTTACAAAAACGAATTTTTGTTGTATGCATGCCTTCAAAAGCCTCTTAAAACTGTGAAGATACTGGAATGGACTAAATCCCAGAATTCTGTTTCCAATGGTGGCACAAGTGATATCTAATGAAGCACAATAGTGTAAGTCATAGTTCTACTTTACAGTCTACTAGCTTCTAATGACTTTCAGATCAGGGATTTCCTGCCCCAGATTTGTTAACAACCAGTATTTCCCTTTCATTCATTTGTCAAGGCTTTCCCACCATCTATATAAATATTTCATACCCACAAAATTCTACACCAAGTAGCTGCACTGATCTACTTACCTGTTATGAGAAGAACATCTATCCTGCCTTCTACTAGCTTCCTTTTATGTCCTCTAATTCTTGTAGTAGAGGAAACCAACTCATTCCTGCCTTAAATGTGACTATTCACACAAGTTCTACTCAATATGAATAAAATGTGCAGAATGGAGACTTTAAAGAATGGGATTTGGGTGCTTTCTTGATCTGCTTGTAATTTGGTATATATGGTAATACTCGAAGGCAGCTAAACAGTACTGTGAAGTAAAGAATTTTCATCTTCAGCTACACATTTGTAGTCTTACGTCAGTTTTACAGTTCATTTGAACAAAACCAAATTTTTCAGTGAGTGGGCAGTCTAACTTATCTGTTATAGATTCCTGAGTTCTAACAAAACCCACCATTTCTTTCCACTTCTTTACAAAGCCTTCTCTAATTCCAAGATTTCCTAAGTCCGCCTTTTTCTGTTTCTATTGGAATGTGATTACAAAGATTTCTCTGTGTAATTGTCTTTACAGGCTTCATATAATTACTATCCATAAGTTTGAGGCCTAAAGGCTCTTTTTTGTACACGGAGATATATTCTGAGGGCTTATTTTTTACCAAACAAGAGTGTTTCCACATAGTAGCAAGTAAATACATTTTTGAAACCTCATTCCTATTCAAATCAAGCCTTGAGTTCAAGGTTCACATTCTCTGCTAACCCCATTCTAGGGTCAAGAAAGTTCAAAGAAAATTAGCACACAGTACTGCATGGCAGAGAACCCTTCCTAAGATCATCGCCAGACTGTCAACTTTTCTTCAACAATTAAATCTACCTGAAAAACCCAAACAAACCTTCTTAGTGACATCTGAAGCAACATGGAAAGAATCCCATAAGTTGCCATGCAAACAGAATGATCAATTACTACTTCAAGGAGAATAATTTTGGAAGCATGAAAGAGTACTTAATCTTGGGGAGGATCTTATAAAACAGAATATTTTAAATATGGAAAACAACTACATATAATAAGACAGGGGTTTGGGGGGGCTGTGTCAAACCAGTTCAATTATTTAATGAATAGAGAGTGAGGTAGAGGGCAAGCAAAGTTTAAGAGGGAATAAGAGACATGGGGAATAATTATCATTCAAAACACTTTTTAAATGATTCCAGGCAAAGGAGTTATGCATTGTATTACTCTATGACATGAAGTTTGGAACACAAGTCACATCTGAGTGTATTGACTGTTCACATATGTGTTTCAGAATAATATTTGAACAATGATGATCTAGTGATTTCATTTACTGAAATAATCAAAAATAGATTTTGACCAAGTTGAGAACTACTGCAGGCTTTTGCAAAATTTCTGAAGTGCTTGAACTTCACTGTTTCAAATACAAGTTAACTCTGCTTTTACTTAAAACTAAGTGCAAAGATCCCAAACATTTCGTTTTAGGACATTTTAAATGTTATAATGAATTGTTCTTGTTCTACTCACTGGTGCAGAGTTGTCTCTTGGTCCTCTGGATCTGACCATTCTCCCCAGCACTTCTATGCCATCAGAACTAATATTCCCTGCTGCATTAATGGTCTTCTCGCTCACTTGCTTGCAGTCAATAATTATTTTGGCTGTAGTCTTGCTGATAACAACATGCAACTAAGCAAAAGAAGAGATGCTTTAACATACAAAGTAGCACATAGGATACATTCATTTCCTGGGAAAATGGGGACATTTTTCAAAATGAGCTCCTAACTCCATGTTTGCTAACAAAACTCGGAGAATAATCCATAGCAAATAATCTAGATAACCTCTAGAGGTCCTTTGCAACCTGAATTATTCTAGGATTCTAATCTGTTTAATTAATTTACCTTATTTTTCTGCTGATGGAATATCTACATACAAATTGGCACCTTGTGATTTATTCACTGAGAAAATAATTTATCCCTGACAAAAGATCTACACAGTGTTCATATACCACCCAGATCCCAAAGACCCCTTGATTTATGTAGTCAGTAATAATGCCTGGGCCTTGTATGATCCTGCTATGTAGCACTGGATTTCACCAACACATCCTTTACAGACATTTGCAAAAGTCAAAACTAAGCAGTAAAATTTAGTCTGAAAATTATACACTAACCACACAGCAAAACCTTTCATAGTGACATTTTTACACTGAAAAAAATCAAATCACGTCAAGCGCAGTACAGAAAAGCAGAACATGGCAACAAAGTTACTTCCTTCTGCCTTGACTCACTCTGTTGTCCATCGCTGATGCAGCACAGACATTCCCAGCAGAGAGGACAATCCTAGCCACAATTGTCCTGTCATGGGCAAAGTCTCAGTTAAGCAAAGGAAAGAACAATTTTGGCGGGGGAAGACCAGGTGAAGAGCTGGTAGAAATGCAGTATCTTCTCTATACCATTACGCTAAGTGGAGATTGGAGCCCAAGGTGAGAGAATGCCAGGAAGAAGTCGTGTAGCTGCTTTGTTCTGGGCTCAGCCGGAACCAAACGACTGAAAAGCTGCTATGAATTTGGTCTGCTGCGGCTTTCAAACACTTATATAGCAAGGATCATCATTCAAAATGCAGAAAAATGCTTAAAAGGAGAATTTGCTAAACTCCCATATATTCCTCCAAAGCACAACTTAAGAGGCAGAATTAGACCCCAGCTCTGACCTACCTTCCCTTTCTTGCTCCATTGATTAAAAAGGAATTAGAGAAAAGTTAAGCTCTGTAAATACTATCTCTCAATCCACAGACTCCATTTTTGTTTAGGAAAGATACAAATATCAGGAATAAAAGTGAACAACAAAAGCACCTTCCAAAACAAATACGTGCTACAAGCCCAGCACTACTTCATCTGCTTTCAGAAAGAATGTTACAAGTTCTCTAACAGCCAAGAAAAGTTCAACATGGCATAGCCCTTAAAATACGTTTTAAAATAACAACTCCAGTCAAAAAAGGATAATTTTTTTTTGCTGGACATTTTCTTTTAATTTTGACTGAGATATCCAATCCAAATCTTAAAAGGAAAAGCCAATTTACTTCTAAATTACTTTTCAAGGCAAGTATTTTTAACCAGCTCTAAAATACAAGCACAAAGCATGACATGAAAAACTATTATTTGTTTAATGTTAATTCAATATTGCAAAGAGACTTTAGACAGTTTGGTAGATGGTTTTGCATATGCAAAATATATTTCTTCTGACAGTGTTGACCACATGAAGGAAGATTTCAAAATATGAAAAACTCCCAAACCTTTATTCAGAGTGCTCTTTTTTCCTATTACCATTACTAACCTTATGAAAACTCCCATAAAATATCTTCCTTATTTCAGGACCTTCAAAAGTCACAGTTTGAAAATCTCCTTTGTAGTCGTAGTTAAAGAAAGTCAGAGTTTTACCACCATCTGTGTGAGAATAAAAATAAGGGTTCTGTGTTAAAGGAAGAAAAGGCCTGATACATTATTTGAAAAAGTCAATTTTATGTTTAACAAAGACCAAAGATGTCATATCCAATGCTAGTAAAACACATTAACCCATGTCTACCTGACCCTACTCTCCCACTAGTTCTCTGTGGGACTTGGACAAGAAAAGCCGGCACGGATCCTCAAGCTAGCTAAATGCCTAATTCAAAGCATTCAATTAACCTATTTCAAGGTGACATATCTAAAAAATTCTAGGAAAGACAGAAAGATAAGTACTAATATATGTCTTTTAAAATTGGCGGCTATGAAGAACAGCTATCATAGTATCTACATCTTTTCAACAGTAAATATGGAAACCTTCTAAATTATAATCCCTGTTTTACAGTTGAGGAAGTCAAATCAAGTAGAAATGAAGAGAGTCATCAAGAATTCATGTCTCTAGCTCTAAGTCTGCTATCCACCAGACTGCATTGCCCCTACGTATATCTGTCAGTACCATTGGCATGTATCAAGATTTATAGCAGTGGAAATTTTAAAAGCAAATGAGTACCTCCTTTACAAAGAGTACAAGCTCTTTGGATTTCAGTATCACTCCTCCCAGTTTAGAGCAGTGTACTCAAAATTTGACTCTAACTCCAAATTAAACTCAGTTAAATTAAATCTAAAAAACATCCATTAGAGACTATCACCTTCCAGATTCAGGGAGTTGTTCTGGCAGCAGATTAAAACATTGGTAAGAATAAATCTAGACACAGAATGAATCATTCATAGAGTTAAAGAAAAAGGCACTGATAAAACACAAAATACATACTATCTAAAATAACTCCAACCAGTGGTTCATATCCTTCATTTAAAATCTCCCAAAGAGCAAATGGCTCCTCAGGTGTGTCAGGGAGTATACGAAAGAGAAATGTAATGGTGTAATCAGAGGGGAGACCTTCAGGATGCAAATACCTGTAAGAGAAATATTGTCTTTTAAACTAAAACAAACATTAAATCTGGTGATTTATTCACCAGATGTTCACTTAACATACTTTATTTTACTCTGTATATTTCTTTGGAAATCAAGACTGAGAAGCAATACAAATAAGTGTTTGCAAAATCTACTCAATTTGATAATTACCAAAAGAATACTTATGAAGAAAGGAAAAGTTATCTTTCCCTTGAAATTTACAAAATTGCCCTTAATTATTAATTTTTTTTTAATCTGAAGATCAAACAGGAGGTCAGTTTGAAGTAAAGCTGAAATTAATTATATTAAAAGCTTTTAAAAAAACAGTAGCCACTCACAAGACCTTTACTATTGGTTGGTTTAACAGACAATGAAAATAGAAGTTGCTTGGAAGACAAATCTCAATAGACATGTCCTTTGTCATTAAACCATTACTAATGGATTAGAATTAGGAGTGACAGAGACTGTCACAGGAAGCTTTATAAATTGTAGGGAATGTAGTTTATACATTTCAAAGCCAATATATAAGAAAGTGAAGTCAAAACAGATCACACATACAGAAATACAATCTGTACTCCTAGAATTTTTGCAGAAGGGAGAGGAAGTTTATAATATAAAAAAGTATGTTATTTTATGCCATTTCCTAAAATTATTTAGAACTTCCAATTTAATTTAACCTTTCATTGCCAAATCCCAAAGTGGGACATTTGGACAAGTGTCTGAAACGACTGACTGTATTTTGAAATGTTAATTAGCCTGATTCCTTAAAATCACAGTAAAGGGATCTGAAAGAAGCCTGAAGATGTTATTTAATCAGTTTCTTTTCCCCAAATATGATCCATTCCTTCTAAAGAGTTTCTGGTATATAGAAGATGTATAGATATGAATCATGCTGGAAAAGGAGTTACATGTGATATATAATCAATATATTCTGCATAGTGCCTGTAGATGATCAAATGTGATGCTACACTACACATTTTCCGTAGAGAAAAGAGAGAGGGAACTCAACAGGTGTAAGAAAAAAGCCTTACAGTATGTCCATTGTACAAAAAATGAAAGAAAATCCAATAAGCAGGGGGGCATAAACACAAGGTTTGGGGATAAACTCAAAAAGGAGAATAACATTAATGGCATTCAGTGCACAGATGAGACGGCAAAAACAAGTGGTATTATTCAGACGTACCTGTAGATCATCAAGAGAAAGATATTCTCTGAACCATGAGAGGGAGTGAAAGCCTAATGAAGCAGTAAGATTGGACTGGGGTGGCAGCTAGAGAAGAGCATGTAGATGCAGCAGATCCAATTAGAAAGAAGCAGAAAGGGAAAAAGAAATGAGAAATGCTTATCCCTGGAAATTTCAGTCCATCTAGACCCAGGAGGAAACTAACACTGAGAATGTGAAACAGCTCCAAGAATTATAGCTCCAACTGGGACACAACAGGATAATAACACAAAAAGACTAAGATGACATCTAACATAAACCTTAAAAGTAATTTTTTACTGTTTTTCTTTCTTATTTGTCTTGGCTAAAGAACACTTTTTGTTACATCTTCCATGTTTAATCCAGCAGGGCCACTGCTTTTCTCTGGTGCCACTTAATATGAAGTAGGGGACTGGACTGAGATGAACCAAACACAACATACACACTGTTCGTAGAAGAAATTGAGAGTTTCCATCACTTTCTCTCTTAGGGATGACTGTAAAAGTTTGATGGGATGTTTCTTCATTGTCTCCTCCATATCTCCCCCAGGACACAGTCCTTGTGACTGAACTATGTCCGTCTCCCAGGAAGGTACTAGATGGTGTTCACATAGACTCATTTCAGCATAAGGAGATAATCTTCCTTTATAATCAACAAATGGACATAAACTGAAGTAAAAGTGACTGAGGACAGCTAAAGCAGGTTCTTATTCTGACCCCTGTTTCAAAGACATTCTGCACTCTATGAGACTTCAACCTGCATTCCAGAGGCACCTTTCACAAAGTACTATATATTGGAATCTGCCGAGACATAGGTCTGCATGAAACTGGTAGGTGCTAAAACAGCACAAGCCTGAAATTGGCTCATTTGGGAAACCCAAAATGGTCAGTGGCTTACCTACTTTGACCTACAACTGCTATTTTTGAATAAAACCGATGGAGGACTCAGGACATCAAACACACTTCCTATTCATTAGTATAATGTAGATATACACGAGTATCTCTGCTCTTCTGGTGTGAAAATACAGGTCCCTGAAATGAATAATTGCCTGCATTGGGTAATTATCTTCACGTGTTTCATGAATATTTATATGTTAATACATACTTGGTAGGCTGAGATACCAGGGCATCCTTGTGCAGCCTGTAACATGGGTAAACATTAAATGTACCGGGTTCCATTGAAACACCTTCCAGAGCTGAAAACTCCTTTTCAACCAAACCAAACATTTCCATCATTTTAAATCCTGGAAGGTATCAAAATATACATTCTATTAATTTAAATTAATACCGCATTGCAGGAAACAAAAAAAGGACAAAGCCACTTGCATCAAAGTTTCATCCACCATCTGTTTATCAGCTGTTAGCATAAACGGAAATTCATTGCCTAATATTGTGAAAATCAGGTAATCAAAATGATTTCATAAATCAGGAACAAAAATGGACACAAAAATACTGTACCTGCAAAATTGTTGCCATCCTTAACTACCAATGGGCAGGCTGGAAAAGAAGGAAAGACATATTTAAGGATACAAGAGATGTCCCACTGGGTCAGAACAATGATCCACTCAGCCCAGTACTCTACCCCCAACAGCAGCAAAAGAAGACGCTATTTAGGAAGGGCATGCAAACCTGGCCACTTTCTACTCCACTCAGTTGATGCTCCTCAGCATCCACAAGGGTTGCAGCAAAGATGTTAAAGGGTACATCCCTGTGTGTTCCATATAATACCCTTTTATGGATCTGCTGTCCATGAGTTTGTCTAATCCTCCTATGAACCTGCCTTCACAAGCTCTTGTGGCAACAAATTCAGTGCCTGCTGCATAAAAAAAGTATGTCTTATACTGGGTTTTAACCAAGCACTCTCCAGTTCTCTATTTGTGAGCATCTCCAGTCTAACTCCATCTCATGCTCAATTACTTTAGCTGGCATTCTCTGTACCTTTTCAAACTCCAGAATAGATTTCATGAGCAACAGAGACCAGAATTGCACCGTTCTTAAGATGTGTGCACACATTTTACATAGCTGTAAATCTGGTTTATATTTTCCTTCTGGCAGGGAAGAAAACACACTAATCTTTTCCAGAAAAGGTGCTCTGGGAAATCAATAAGCCTAGAGGCAGGGTGTCAAATATGGCACCCCAGGATACTCATACTCGGAGATCAGTTTTGGAATACAAGCACAAGTGACCAATAAATGCTACTGTTGAGTATTCTCAATGTTCAACATTCTCTCTACCATTGAAAGTAGAGTTTATGTTCAAAACCAAAGAATTGATGGGACACAAGCAATATATTTGTATTCACCAGCTCTGATAACTCATAGTCCCATGCACAATGACTCCTTACAATTACAAATGACTCACATCAGCTATACACTGCCTATTTCCTCACTTATATATAAGTGAACATATTGAGGGCACACGCCTAAAAACATGTGAATTATTGACCTCTAACTAGTAGGGGTTGTTCCAGAATGTCTTTCCCTTTAATTTCATAAAGAGTCTGAAGTGTGGCATTTTTACAGATTTCAAAGAGTCTGGGCATGTTTTACGCTTTTCCTTAGGCTACAACTCTTCTACTTTCTCTGATAATACAAACATTAATGATTAGCTCTCCATTAATAAATTAACCATGTAATTTCAGTAATAATGAAGGTAGCTAACTGTACTCTTACAGATGGTTAAAGTAGCCTAGAAAATAAAATATAATTAATTTCTTATGACTAAATTCTGAACCATTAACAATGTTTCACATCTGAAATAAGTTTTTGACAACCAGTGGCTATATTGTGGATTTACAGCAAACAACCGTTAATTATTTCAAAGTCACACTACCTTCATTTCCTTAATCTTTTATGGAAATAATATTAGAGTTATAGTATCTGCAGTAAAATACAATAAAAAGATCAAGCTCTCAATAGAAAATTAATAGTTACAAAATCCCCAGTATTTAGCACTTATTTTAGAAGCAAGTATAAGTCAAAATGGCTAACTTGCTGATGCAGTTTCACAAACAAAAGTGATCAGCTCATCTTCAATCTTTGTAAAGGCATCAAAGTCATCCACAAAGAAGACATGTCTTTCACTGGGCTTGCTGCCAATATTAACTAACTCTGAGTAGTCAGCATCAGCTACTCCAATAGCAAAAAAGCTGAAACCTGTAAAACAAAAAAGAGCACTCTTGTGAGTCATTCATTTAGAGTGGAAATACAATATGAACACAACTGTATTTGCACTGGCTCCTTTCCTGACTAAATACAAAGGGGGAAATTTTACTATTATCCTATAACACAAGAAAATTCATGCATGTAAACTAAAATAAAGGTAATACATTCTCTGTGAGATATTTCTTGTGGTTATTTATGCTTAATCAGTTAACTAAAGTTAAAGATTAAATGCTTTCTTGAAGATATATAAGACTACTCAGTAGTTTAAAGTTCTAGCATATGTTTGAACGCTTTTCTAATTTAATGCTATACTGTATTACACACAAAAATATCCATGTATCAAGTTTATCATAAATACAAAGCACAGAAATTAATTTCCTGTGGGTCTTTTAGAGATTTTGTTCTGTGCCATATATTAGTCAGAGCTTTCAAGCCACTGCTGCCTCATGACTGAACATTGAAATAAATACATTCTCATCTCATCAGCAACTTAACTACACTGGTCGAATCCATTCTATATATTCTGCATTAATATATTTTGTAATTTGAGCCTGACTTCAAAGATTTAAATGGAATGGAAATTGTACGCTATATGTTTGAGGAGCAGTAAACTAGCGAAAAGTTTTTCAACATTTTCCTTTCCATAAAAGATAAAGAAAAAACCTGACTACATCAGGCTGAATATTGTTAATGGACACATATGCGTCAGTCCCAAATTAACTCCAGTCAAGCAATATTTTCTTTAAGTTTGAAGGAGGCCCAGGGGCATTCATCTTCTGCAGAGCTTTTAGTATAAGAAAACTTTGACTTAATATAACAACACCTTCAAGTCTCACTCAAGATCAGCACCTCTCCATGCCAGCCTCTATCGTAGATGCAAGTCAGTACCTGCTCCAATCTATCTGCAGCCTAAACATATAGTACACACAAATGGAAATGGGAGAGAGGACGTCATTTGTCCAGGGTGACACATCCCAGTCAGCAACTGAAACCACACCATATGCTGACTCCTCTCAAGGTTGCTGCCAGTTGAATAGTTAATAGAGCAACTGGAAGACTTACCTGACAGTTCAACATTTTGTTCAGCTTAGACATAGACTCCAATTTCTTCACAAATATGGGGTTTTCTTGTTTGCTACTTAAAATGAGTTACGCAAGCTCTACTATTTTGTGATATGATTTTGTTTATGAAGGCACTGCACTCAGCATCTAGCAAGAATACGAGCAGGCAGCCAAGCTCAACTATTGCATTGGGTTTCAGGAATCAGTAATGTACACTGGTAACTTCATAGCTGCCAAAGTCTAAAGGCAAATAAAAAAGCACAAATGTAATTTCTTCTTAGATCTCCTCACATTAAAAGGATGATAGCCTTTTGTTTCCATCCTTTAGTTTTGTTCCACATGGCACACTGTGCCCTTTGGGTTTTGATACAAACCTCAGTATCAGACATTTCTACAACTAACCCAGTTCTTAGTTTAGACTCACAACACTGTGTGGCTGCTTACAGCTCTAAAATTGGTGCTTTAAAAAAACATTTCTGAAGGTAATAAGCGTAACATGAGAGCAGATCAGAACCAGTAAAATAACATATGAAAGAATTTTCAAAGGACCTCTTGTACAGGTAACAAAATAATTCATTTTGCTGATATCCAGAAGACAATACTTCATAGATGATAGTCCAGATCTCAGGACCATGTCCTCTAAATTCTTCATCATAGGAGAAGTTCCATTGACTACTACATGATTTTATCACTGTCACCAAAATGAAAAATAATAGCATTAATCACCAAAAACATCCAGCATCTAACCATATCCTAGTGATATTCTGAGTTTCTCAGCAACTGCTATCTGTTTTCTTTAAACTTGGAAATCTTCCCGAAGCAAAAGTTACCCTTATCTGATGCTCACACTTACGTAGTTACAATTAATGAGAAAAAGGAAAATGTGAATAGCTCTTAAAACTATTTTACCATCTAGTTGCATTTCTTTGGAGACTTTGTTCACATCATCCTGTGATCGCCCATCAGTAATGACAACCAAAACCTTTGGAATGCCCCTTCTCATGCCTGCCTCTCCAGTAAACAAGACTTCTCTTGCATGTTTAATGGCTTTGCCTGAAACAGAAAAAATTGACAACATAGTTCCACTGTGACATAAATTCAATTTCTATTGACTTCTCATATCATATGTTAGACATCGACAAAAAAAGAAATCTCTTGGGTCCTGAGCAGTCTTTAAATTAGCGCATTCTGTAGTTATTAAAATAAAGATTTAGAAAAGCTTAATTTTGACCCTAACCTTTGAAAATTTGATGGCTTCAGCCATCTGTTTTTCAATCCAGAAGGTGAAGATCAAGAACATGACATGTGTGGAAAAGGGTATTCTGTGCAGGTTAGAGATAACAAAATCTTCCGTTACTGGACTGTAGGGCACAGTCCAGGTAACAACTGAAAGTACCATTGTAGCATTTTCTTGAGTAAATGGAAAATGTGTTATTTTGATACTGCTGAGACTGGATGCAAAGCAACAGCTGCAAGAAATTTCTGTGCAGTCTGAGAATAATAAAACAGATCGTTTCCAGCAAAACCAGATTTTAACCCTTTCAGCATTCATCTTTAATTTCTTCACATTAGAGAGCTATTTTAAGGGATTAACTAAAATGTAACTACATTCAGTTAATAGACATCTTCCCCCAGACCAGTCTTAAACATACCACTGAGGCTTGACTGTCCTGGCTTATAACCAAACAGACCCTCCACTCTGTCCACTGTTTTCTATATGCTCTGCAAGCTCTCTCCCATCTCCTCTCCCCTTCCGCTTTTCCACTTGCCAAGCTGATTTCATATTACTGCCCATTCCATCTTCCACAGTCCCCAAATTCATTCACGTCTGCCTAGCTTACTCTCTCCTCCCTGATCCTTGGCTTCATTGTTGGTCAGAGGGGTGAATACCCAGCAGCAGGGAGTGAAGGGTGTAAACTGCAGATTATGAAGACTTTCTAACTTCAAAGCCCAACCTCTCACCTGCAGTGTGGAGATACATTGTTCTCACTGATTTTGCACTGATATATTAAACTACTTAGTAAATGGGAAAGAAATACTGCACAGAGACTAGCAGGGAGAAAATCTGCATCATAATCATGACCTTTCTCACCTGTTTTTGTATTTCCTCCTTTGTAGGCTATTTGCTGAATAGCTTCAAGAAGAGTCTCCTTTGTTTTGTATGCATTCAATTTAAATTCTGTCCTGGGATCATCACTGAATTGAATTATTGCCACCTGTGCACATAGAAGATGTGTTCATTACTAAAGCACCACCCAGTGTATAAGCAAAAAGTAAGTGAATCAGCACATTTAAACAAGGATTTGTCTTGTAACTTTGCTTCATCCTTAAATTGAAGCCAGATTCTTTTTTCTCTTTAGAAGCTTTCACTAAATAAAGTTTAATTTTACTCTCTGCAGCCTTGGAACCATCTAACACTTTATGGTTTCATTTTGCAGCAAACAGGATGAGAAAATTAATACCCACTTTGGCAAAAGCACTCTCAACTGAGCCCAAAACCAAAATTCCAGTTACAGCTGCTCACACGTGTACAGTTACTCATACACAGAACTGCAAGGACTTTATTCAGTCTCCACGAATTAATAGCTGCACATAAGTAACGTAAGTTGGGAGCAATACTGAAGTAAGTAATAGAAAGATGCAACAATATATTCTGAAATATTGCCTCACCCAAATATGATGCTACATGAGTCCAGACCCTGTATTTCAATGCTATGCACTAAACCCGTACAACTCACAAAACATATATTCAACTTCATATTCTGTAAGTGGTGTGCCTGATTTAAAAGGAGCTATTCACATGCTTAAGCTTAAGCTTGTGCATAAGTTTCCAAAGCACCATGGACTGTATTCTGGGAAAATAGCTATATAGCAAGAAATAGTAAAAACTGAGCATTCTTCAGAGTTTGGACAAGGTAAAAATAATTTTCAATACTAACCCAAACTGCATATTATACAGGTAACACTTAAAACAGTAATACATTTTCCAATAATCTTTTCTAGAGTAGACTCAAGTATCTCTCTAAACAAATACATAAATAGAACAATCATTGTAAATACTATATTTCATTTCAAGCACTGTAGATTCTGTAGTGCATATGATTTTAAATAGACGAATCTTTATTTTTCCCTATCAATGCCATTTTTAGCTTATTTAGAAATAAACACCACAGTGAGTACCAATAGCAAAACCATTAAAACAACTTAAAATTCATTAGAATTATTTAGGAGATTGAAATTATACGTAGCCATCATGCTAGCAAAATTCATATCATTAATTTCATGATACGGTCTATATAAAAGAAGATATTGGGAAAAAAAAAGCTGTCCTAGAGCAGTATATATTTAAAAAAAAACCCTGTGAAATGATGTACTTTTTTACTTTTACTTATTACTTGTACTTTACTCATTTCACTTCTGGTGCTAGTCTAAAACACTCTGTCAAGCCCATGTGCCCTCCTTCTCTCTACATGTCAATTACCTGTGTTCCATCAGGACCAATCTTATCCAAAGCTCCAACAGTGCTATAGAGAAAGCTAATTATTTTATTGAAATTGTCATCTCCAATACTCCATGACCCATCCACCAGGAATGCTAAGTCAGCTTTGGCTGCTTTGCACACTGAGAAAGAAAAGCAAGTATTCTGGAATTAGAGCAATGCCTTGACACCTCATGAAATCTCATGAATCACTTAAGAAAATGTGACTGTCATGAAAAGCCCTTGTTTAATGTTAGTTAACAATGCTTTAACAAACACACTTTCTGGCATTGACTTCAATGCAGGTGTAGAACCAGCTGAGCTCTGCAAGGGGTGAATGGTCTGCATCGACAGATCCTATCACAGAATACACTCCGAGGCCATAACAGTTCTTTAAAATCTGGCTAACAATTTTTATTTTTATTTAGGTTGCTAAGCAAAGTCACACATAAACTTACTCAATCCCAGATTCCTAGCATGACACAGTAAGCAAGATGAGAGAATCTCGACTGTGGAAGTTAACAGTGTGAAACAAGTCCATTCAAAAAGTTACCCTAAGCTCTGTAGTGCCTAATGCTCGCCCATTTAACTGCAATATTTAGAAGCAACGCAGGTTTCCCCCATCTCATCTTACTCCAGCATGTTCTTATGCAAAATGGCCTGCAGAGCTGTACACCTGCTCACATAAATTACTCACTCTTTCATGGGTACTGGGAACCTTCAATGTCTACAGAATCAAAGTCTATTGCTTGGGGTCAGAAACAAACAGCCTCAAAGCAAAGCTATGTTTTTCAACATATTTCAACTTGAAGAAAAATGTTTATCTAAATCCAGAGAATGGGTCAGGAAGATACATACCTGTATTTCTCATTTTCTGTTGATTACTCCTTGGATTAAAAAAAAACCCCACAGTTGCTGCTATGCAGTTCTAAAATATACACACAAGGTCTTTTTTTTCTGTACTTATGAGTTAAATTCTCAGTTACTATATGTCAGTTTGGTCCATCGACTTCAAGCTGACGGATTTGACTCTCAGTCTCCAACAATAACGCTCCCCTCACAGAAATATTTATGACACTCCATACAAAACACTACGTGTTCAAATAATAAATAGAAGGAAGCCTACATATAAAGAGGGAAGAGACTGAACACAGCCAACACTTTTCTCATTACCTAAAGTAGACATATTATTAAAAATCATGCTGTTTAATAAGCTTAATTACCCTGTCTGCTTCAGTTGCAAAATATGTATGATTTAGGAATTCTGGAAAAAGAAAACCTCACACATATTAATGTTCCTTTCTGCAAACTTGAACAGTACAGTAATGATGTCAGATTTTTGGATCATTAAATTTAAGCCAGCTGCCTTAACAGTGTCGCTGTAGCAAATGCATTTTGAAATCTGATCCCCATAGGTCTAAAGGAGTGTCAGAAGCAGAAAAACATTGCATCAACACCTTAAAATTACTATAAACCCACATATGCAGCACTTACCCTCTTTCGCAGGAGGGATTGTAGGTGGTGGAGGTGGTGTTGAAGGTGTTGTTGGCGGTTGAGTTGGAAATGGTACTGGAGAATACAAGGAAGGAATCTTTAAAAATGCTTAAAAGCCCAATATATTTTATCTGTATTAAACACAGCACTTTCTACTCACATCCACATTTAAAATTCATTATCTCTAATCAACTAGTTACGCAACTGAAGAGAAATGTGGGTGAGCATGTGCATGTAATGGTCTCCTTTACTGACCACCTGAAAAAGGATAGTACTGTCACAAAGCAATTAATGGCTGCATTTCAGTGTGAATGATACAATGATTCAACTGAACTACTACTGCAACTGCCACCTTTTTGGGTTTCCCCAGTGTAGTAGACCATGTGACAGCCCTACTCTTGACCTAGTATCCATAATTCATTTTGTAAAATGTCAGCATCCTTTTCCTTTCTGACCACAACCAGTCCTTAGTCACAGAAAGCAGGTCTCTACTCACCCTGGAAGGAAGAAAATATTAGTCCTGCAATTCAAAATACAAAGAGACAGCTGAAAAGCAAGCTAGTGCCTGCACTCAGAGCAGATCACAACCTGCCCTGATGAAGATGTTCCTGAATTAGGTGGAAGACCTTGTTATGTTTTCAGCTAGAAATGCAGTTCTGACCACAGCTCCACAGGACTGTGGCTTTGTTGCCTGCAGCAACTTCTACTAAGGTTACTATATAGAGTTTCTGAAAACTGTCTCATCCTTCTCCTGAAAACAAGCATTGGAATGACAACCTTGCAGAAACCTGGCTGAATACATGATCACTGATTGACAGCTTTGCTGAACGCAAGAGCTCTATTTACTGCCTTTCAACACAGTCCTTTTCTCAGAGACAAGATGCACATGTATTGACTTCCACAACTGCATCTGAGAAAAAGGTTCCACTTTCATTCAAGGGTATTTTTTACAATTTTTTTCATTGCAATAGTCTTACTTGAAGGAATGATGTTCTGTCACCTGTGGCTTCTTATGCTAATTGCATTGAAAATTGTTATTTGCTATAATATGTAAGGTATATTTATAGACAATGGATAGAGTTAGATACGACAACTTCAGAAAAGGCACCTATTTTTGGGAAAGATTAGTGCAAACAGGATTCATTACAAACCTCATGTCCACATCCAAGCTGACTCCCACTGCAACCGATGAGGGTTTTCCCATTGGCTTCAACAAGAGAAAGGGGCAAGACTCTCAAACACCTACAAGAAACTAATGCCCAGGATTTCCATGGCCACAGACAGACCAGGACCAGACCCATTTAGAAAGGGTCATAACTCCAGTAAGGTGACTTGAAAGGCTGCTCTAAGAACCAGAGAGGTACTGGTCACTCTGAAGAGTGTTTTCTTCTGAGGTGATACAATAATTTGTCTGCATCACAATCCATCATTCTCAAATGGACATGTAGGCCAAGGTGTATTCTTCCTTCTGTCTCCTAACTCCCTGAACTGCACAGCACACAAAATGCATTTCTCCAAAAAGCAGGAAAAGCTTGGCTTGTTCCTCACTGCTCTGGGAACACTGGACAACTGAGATGTGGAGTCATGCACCCATGCAAGTTTTTCCTATGTGAAACCATAAGTGTGGGAGGCTTCACTTGAAGAGAAAAATTATAAACATTATCTCCTCTAAGAGAAGAGTAAAAGCATTGTAGTTTATATTAATATAGTATGAGAAGAAGAATATCACTGAGATTGAAAACGGTCTCAGAGAAAGAAAGATAATGTTAAATATTCACTCTGTTCTTCCTGTATTTTGTTTTGCAGTATTTTGACCTCATGACAGCAGAATCTTGTCTTCATTAACAGCTGTGAGGGGTTTTTTTGCCTGTCTTGTGTTATTGAGAATAATAATAAAAAGATTGGTTTGTTTCTTTTAAAATACATGAACAGATTGGATATCAAGGTCCCATTTAACTGTAAATTACTGAGACACTGGTGAAATTTTACTAAATAGCAAGAACTGCAGGATACAAAACTTTCTCTGTTTCTCTGCTTCATTTTTCTGGATTCTCCCCCCCAAAGTCATCGATTCTCAGAGTATACCCTAGTGGGACTTTTTATGAAGAAAACTAAACCAACCTCTCTGTTTCATTCTCATTAAGAAGTCCAATATAGTTGGTGAACGTAACTTAACAAGATATACACAGCAGTAGTGTAAGAATCCTGCACCTCTGTGGAGGACTCACAATGTAGTTGAAAAATTAAAAACTCAGCTAAAGGAAACTGTGTAGGAATAGCACATCTGTGGGCAAAGGGCAAAACACAAGAAGTAATCCAACTTTATTGCTGCTGGCTGAAGATCTATGTTACTCACATGTTGTCTCTATGATGCTTACAGCAGGGCCCTCTATCTCCTGAAGCTGTGTATGAACACTGATTTTATATTCAGTTCCAGGCATCAGCTCAAAGAAACAATGTCTAGGCATGCCTCCACCAAGATTTACTTCTCGCTTTTTCCCATCTGGAATTATAAAAGAAACCATTAAAATATTACTTTACTGTTTTATTGAATAATGGAGTTTAAGTCTGAAATCAGAAGGGGACATGACAGCGGATGAACAGCAAATGGTTGACATAAATTAATAAACTACATGCTGCCTTATTTCTGGAAATTCACCTCTGTGCAGAGGTCTCTGTAACATTTCATCCTTCATATTAAGTAGGAGCTGAGGAATGTGTCAGACATCTGCAGGAAAAAAGACGTATTTCACCCCATTCACTGAAGTTAATAAAAATCACCAACACCGTCATCAATGGGCTTTGGATCTGGTCCTAAATTATGAGAGTCTAATGAGGAATTGTTGCATTATGTAATTCTACAGCATCCTTTGTCTATGCCTCTGGTTCTCAGAGTCTGTAATGTGCTTAGTAATTGCAATAAAGATCGAACTAGATACTGTATTCCAGCTTCTACTAGTAACCACGTAACAAGTTTGTTAAGGATTAGTATTTACAGGGTTCCAAAATTAATTCTGCTAAATTCTGAACTGGAAAGCATGTTGACAATGGAAAAAGACCGGGTACTGGAAATAGCATAAGGCATGTTTTAATAATAAGAAAACCTTCAGTACAATTCATAATCTCTAGCAGAAAGAAATTAAATAGAAGCAACTGATCTTACATTTTACAGAGTATATATACAAACAATGCCAAACAGTCATTCACTGCCAAGGAAAAAACACCTGATGCTTATCAGGAGGTATCACAATAGTACAGAAATAATTGATCACTGGCTGAACGAGACCCACACCCAATCTGACAATCAAAACTGTTCATCATATATGTTAATAAGAAGCAATTGTTCACACTTTAGCTCATTCTGCTCACATTTAGGCTCTTTTGGCTCAGTTAAAACAATTCTGGCAGTTCTATATGATGAAAGCAGAATGTTGACTAGCTCCCAGATGAGAAGGAAATCTGTGCTGTCTTGTGCCAGCCAAGATCTCTGCTTACTGAACAGCTTGTCTGTATTCCAGTCCTTCAAATAAACTGTCACCATCCATTTGCTATTCCACAGAAAGGTCATTATTTTTTGCAACCAAATTAGTATTATTTTTCATTATACCTTTAATAGACCTCATTAAATGTTATTTACTGAACTTCTCTGAAGTTATCCAAGCTTTTAATTAGTCACCATTCAAAAGATCACTAATGTCTAGTGGGGATAAGAGAGTTAGTCTGCACAAATATTGACTTCTCCATAACCTCTTCTGGTTACACCTGAGAATAAGTGAAATGGAAGAGGCTGTAATTCACCTTCTATACAGTCAGTGCTAAAAGCATCAAGACACCATGTGTTGCCACATAAAAATACCTAATATTTGTCCAGATGAGTAACATTACTACAAGCTATAATTAGCAATCAACGAAATGAAAACAGACAAAACTGGATACTGTTCTGATCCCGTGAGAATGGTCTGGATTCAATCAGAGCTTTCCTTCATGTTCATCCTAATCCTTCAGAGCTATCACTGATGGTTTATTTACAATCTTAGATGTATTCAGTTCATCCTTTATCAACCTTCTGTCCCTCACACCAGTGAAAAACTCAGGTAATCATCTATGTTCTACTGATAGATAAAACTCCCTCCCATAAAAAGGACAAGTTATCAACATCTGTTTGATATAAAAGGGCAGGAACGCTACTTCTATTGCTGAAACTTTTAATGTGTACCTAACTCTCTCCTGTCCATCATTTCCAGTATTTCAGGAGCCAGTCTACAGGTTCAACTGCATATGATTTCTTAACTTATGCAATTCAATTCTCTGGGTTAGCCTGTGGCTGCATATCGAATGATTTAGTAACTTACCCACAAGTGATTCTATAACTACCCTGTATGCAGTAGCATGTCTGTGAAGCTGCCACTGAGCACAGAGACTAGTCATGCGGACTTGATAGGAATCCAAATTTGTGACACCGAGGTACACTGAAAATTAAATACCACAAAATTAGATTTACACCTCTAACAAGACATACAAGAAAAAAATGACAAAAAAAATTATGTGAAGAAAATGCAAAACAGGAAGGAAAAGAAAAAAGTTAATCTTTACAACAAAAGTTTGGAACTTAAGTCAATTTAGTTAAGACTAAATAATGAACTCTGCTAAAAATTCAGTTACTACAAATATGTATTAAAATATCATTATAACATCAATATTTCTATCAAAATCTAATTTAAAATTGAGATTTAGATATAGAAAGACTAAATAATACTATATATATGGAGCTAGGGAGAAAAAAAAAAATAGACTTTCCATTAAGGAGATTTATATCTACTACTAGGCAAATACGTTTGGTTGATAAATAACATCTGCTTTATGACCTCTGCCTTGCTAACGTCCAGCAGATTATTTTAAAGCCTAATATAGTCTGATACAAAGAGAGACTTTCATTTCAGTGAAACAATTTGCACACAACTGAGAAAGTCTTCACATGAAAATTTATTCAGGGAGCTGCACAAAGCCATAGTTATAGTGAAAAACAGCCTGTAGAGATCTGAACAGCATGAAATCATTCTTACAGGTTTTGGCTATGCCTGTTAGGGCATCACTGAAGCCTGTTGAGTATGAAGCAAACACTTTAACACTGTACTCCGTTCCACTGAAGAGATTTAGAATGAGAATGGTATTAATATCATCCCCTACAAAGGTCTCCAATGCAGGACCAGGAACTGCAAAAAATGAAATAAATCAGAAAATCATTTGCTCATCCATTGAATTAGCAGGTAGTTAAATCTTAAGACACATCCAAAATTACATGTGCTCCTAAAGCTACTGCTGGTTTTTTGCCTTTTTTTTTTTTTTTTTTACCATACACAAAAACAAAGACACCCTGCTCAGTCCTTGCATGGATAGGAGCCACAACACACTTGGGAAATTCAGCAGAGGAATTCATTAGGGCAGGGCTAGACACTGGCATCTGCTAAGACCCTTTTGTTCTGCTTCAGTGACTTACTACTGCCCTAAATAGGCAGCCAAAGATCTCCTCAGTTTGATGGTGTGCCAGGACCGACAGGGGGGACAGCAGATGCCAGCCAGTAATACAGTCCCTAAGGGGTTCTTATACAACAGCATCGTTTAACACTGTGCAAAAATGATAATGAAAATAGAAAAGAATAAAACTTTCCCAAATCAGAACTGCAAACAGTTCCTTTGTCACCTCTCAGTTGTACTGGATACACTTCAGAAACCAAACAACAGTATTGTCTTTCGACAGTATTTTAGTCCCTTAATGGTCACACATTTGTGTTTCGCTCTCAATACAGACTTAGGTTTTTCTAAAGAAATTTGAAGGATCTTGGGTGCCTTGTCTAGTTGCAATATGCAGGTGAGCAAAGGATGCAACACAGACAAAATAGGCAACGAATAAAATATCAAGCATTTGGGAAGTGTAGAGTGGGAGTAAAAGACAAGGAAACTAAGATTTTGTATTGTGAGGGGAAGGAAGTTGAAGAATGGGAGAACACAGAAGAGAGGAACAGGAAGAAAGCAAAGGTAGCCTCTGAAATAAGTAGAAAGAGTCATGGTAAAATGACATAAAAGGACAGACTGAAAGAGTTCGGTTTGATCAGCCTTAAGATGGGAATTCTAAGGGGGAATTTTACTGCTGCCTACACCTACATAATGGGAGGGAGTAGAAAAGACAGACAGAACGTCTTCTGAGGCAAACAGGAAGATGGTAAGAGAAAATAGGCAAAATTTGCAACATGGGAAATTTTGATTAGATATTAGGAAAAACAGTTGCACAGTGAGGGTAGTAAAAAACTGGAACAGATGCTCACAGAGGTTTTGAAATCTCCATCCTTGGAGATATTACAAACTCGACTGGACAAGATCCAGCAAAACCTGTTCCAAGCTGGCCCTGTTTTGATCAGGGAGTTGAACCGGATGATCTCCAGAGATTGCTTCCAACCTGCATCATTCTGTGACTATGAAACTTTCATATTCAAAACCTGAGACACCTAAGTTAATTGTACTTTCAAGGCTGTAACTGCAACTGTTAGATTTAAGTACAAAATTCAGCAAAAAGATGATGTCAAGACTTTGTACAGTCAAAACCAAATGACCAAAAAAACAATCAGTTTAAAAACTCACTGTTGATAGGTTTGTAGACAATTCTGTAACCCATTGTTGGTGATGGTGGGGCATCCCAGCTGATACGTAATCTGTTGTACCATTCATCTGAGACACGTAAATTTCTAGGAGCAGACAAGGGTACTGAAAGGAAACCAAACAGCTTTTACAAGTTCATCTCATATAAGCACATGCATAAAACTCAAGACATGCACATGAAAACAGTGCGATACCCAGTACTCTCAGATTTACAGGTGAAATTGCCAGGATGAAAGCCTTTAATCAAATTCATCCTTGGCATTATGTCAGTGTATTAATGTTGATATATTTAAGAAAGTTATACCAATAATTAATTAAGAACTTTGTTCAACAAACAATGAATTTTCAATTTAATTCCCAACTTTGTCCCTACATTTTTTAAAAAATGTAAGACAATTCAGGAATAATTATCTTTTATTTACATAGTTTCTTTCAATCCAAGTGGACTAAAGTTTTTAATGTACAAATCATGCTCTTGTGAACACTTAATGCTTTCAAATGGAATCAAAGGAATGATTTACAAGTGACTTACGTGTCTGCACAAATAGCACTTCAATTTAGGCAGAAATTATGTAAATTAGGAGAATAATTCAATAAAATTATAGTGTCATGACTAGCAGTGCACAATGAGATGATTTTTTTAACAATATGCAGTAGAGAGGGAACTTAGGCTACAGCTGAGTAATCTTTTGGTACTTGGTCAGAACTCTAGAGATAATGCAATCACTTTTATAAAAAGTTCAGCAGCATTTCTAGTGACCTTTAGGAAGTAATGATCTCACACAAAAGAAAATCTAACAGTACAATGGTTGGTTTGATACTATCCCCGCAGGCATTGTTTACTTTATTTTCTGCATTAGCTGGTTTGTCCTTGCTGAGCTATCTATCAAGGACTTACCAGCTTTATTACTCAACAAGTTTCTGCAAACTCACAGTATTTGAATATAAAATACTATTTGTCAATTTGAAACAACCCATTGTTTATAAATCAAAGAACTTAGATTGATGTAAAGCTCAAGTTGTGCAAGTCATGCAAAATAAGCCCACATTTATACTAAAACATATTACCACATCCAAGGAAAAAAGGCCAAAAGAGTAAGCCTTCCTTCATGCATATCCTGGCCAAAGACAAGCAGAAAGTTTGTACTTACGAGTTTTGCCAGGAGCAGAGACACTGACTCCTTCCCCATCAGAATAGATGGGAGTGATGGTAACTTTGTATTCTGTATCAGACAGTAGAGGTTGAAGCAGAAGAGTGTTTTGTCTTCCAGGCACCATTACCTGGATGGTCAGAAAAGCAGAAACATCAAGCTTAATGACTAGGGCCAAAATCTTTTTATGTCTTACATGATCTGTGACACCACATTCCACTAGTATTACTGTATAGCTTGCATTTTTAAATATTTCTGATGGTCTATGATAAAATGAAATAATTAAATTATCCACACTTTTAACAGATCTACTAGTTATACCTAAGTAAAATAGGAAGGAGAATGTGACTGTGGGTTAATACAGTTTTATATTAAACGTATGAGCCACTCGCATGTGGTATGTATAAAGAACTACTTCATTCATTGATCAAAACTGGACAAAACCATCTAAATACACGCCCATGAAAGATTCCCATGCTAAACAATTACATATATATACTGAAAACACACAAACCAAGTTTCTGAAAAAAGAACAACCAGCTTTTTTCGGTTTTTAGGAGAGAGGATGAAAGCATTGAGAACTCTCTCTTTTCCACTTGTGTACAGCAGAGATCTTCTGCAGAACAATACAGTTTTCAGCAGTGAGAAATATTCTTGACTTTAAGGAAGAAAAAAAATGTGATCCTTTCAGTACGTACAGCACATCCAAGAACATACATGCAATTTAGGGCTTGATCCTTCTGTAGTGAAAAGTATTCTATTACATTTTCTTGTCCCTGATTTTCAGCCAATTGCATCAAGGATTAAAAAGCTTATTAATATTTTTAGGGAAAGGGAGGAGTAACTGAAATTTATATCACTGAAATCAGAGCCAAAAAACTTAAGCATACACCACAGAATTGTCGCGCTATAGTATAAGCCCAAATTCCACAAAACTTTTGGGTTCTGCTTAAGAAATGTACTTACATAAACACTCCCCTAAAAAACTGAACATCTGTGTTGTTTTATTGACATCTGTGTTGCACCTCTCAGGTGCTTGAAGCCACAAGATAAAATACATTCCTTCCATTTAAAATGTGCTTACATTTAAGTATAATCTTACATCATTCCTTATTCAGCAAAGTATTTATGCATATGATTAATTTCAAAGATGAAACGTGGTTAATATGTTTGCTGAATTGTGACCAAAGTTAATAAGACTTCAGAGTATACTTAAATTTAAATAATTTGCAGAATTAGAGCCAAGATACCTACCTAATCTTACAATTTTATAATTTTCTTTAATGAGCTTTTGAGTCAATTCTCATATCCTCCTGATAGCCAGAATTTGAATACCTTTCCTGCAGTTTTAATTTCCTTTTAAAATAATAGTTGTTGAATACTAAAACAGAACTACATTTATATCATCCAATTGAATTTGATTAAGCTTCCCAGAGCTGAAACAATAAATCTGGGATCTGAATTTCAGAAACTTTGGGTAATTGTCAGAAGAACAGTATGATTTGTGCAAGTTTGCCACTGTATTATATACTAAGCTATCATACAGTTGAGGTAAATTCATAAAGCCTGTTTTCCATGTTTTCCAGTCCAAAAGGAAACCACTACATTTTCATACTATAGTTGAAAGAGATGGCTAAAAAGTAATTTTCTACCAAGGTCTCATAAAAGATGAATAAAACTAGAAAGAAAAAAGACTGATTCATATTTCTTTAGAAAAACAATATTAAACTAACTCCTTTTAATATTCTTTTATTTATATAGTCTGATATGGGGCTAAAAATGTCAGCTGCTAGACATCAAAAAAAATTCTATATTTTCAACATAACTGTTCTACGAACAGAAGTGAGTCACATGACAGACACAGGAGGAGAATGATATCGGGAATATTTTTGCATTCTGAGCTATTTACTAAGAAAATAACCTTGAAATATACAATTTAATCTCTTAAATGTATCTACAGAGAGCTATCTCAAAATTTTATAACTTAATTTTTATGGAAACGAAGCATTGCAATAGTAGGATTTCCTCAATTTGAAAAGAAAAAGAAAAAGAAAAAGAAAAG